AAAGACAAAAAAAGAAATTTGATTTAACATTAAACATGAATAATGGTATGAAAAATATCATTGCATAATTTCGCTGCAACCTGTTTCGAGAAAGATTCATCACGTTTTATTAATGTAAGGTCGATGAACTCGGTGCATATAATGTGTCTCGACGTGTAATCATCGATTGGCTGGAAATATCTCAAGCATTTGGTAATAATTTAGAAATCGTGACTCTTTCATCCAATTTTACGGCTACAATCTGTTCTCCTCTTACATTGATTAATTATAAACTATTCATATAACTATTAAATTTCCATTCCTTAGTTTTACTATATTTTGGCAAATTTATAAATTTTGATGCATTTCCACAAATTGAAAGTCAAATGCGATTTGAATATCGATTGCAATATCGATATTTTTAACAAATATTTGAAATTTAATTCAATTTCTGACTCGTGAAATGATACAATATCAAATAGGTAGAAACATTACAATTTTAAAATATTTTTATTTAACAATTTCCATACATATATATTCTATTTAGAGTCTATTTTTGTGGCATTATTTTTATCTTATTTCAATGTCGCGATAATATATTTATATATATTTTAGATATTTTCTTTGCATATTTATACTAGAATTTTCGTCTACGAAAAATAGCTATAATTATTCCATTCGATGTTGTACTAGAAATTTTATGCCAGTTATTTTTAACGAAAGATTAATTGACGAAAACTTATTTTATGAGTTATTTGAGATGAATCGCATAAAATGAAAGAAAGTGCATGCCCTTGTGTACTCCATAAACACTTTCACGCGCTGCGTCAGTTGCCAAAGACTTGCACTCTCAAATTGTACGGCTTCTTTGAGCACAAGTTCATCGAACGAAAGAGTTAAATGCGTAGCGCGCGTTAATTCTCCTTAATTGTTCGAGGTTGAATCAGTAACTCCAGACGACCACTCGTACACTTTTTAAAAAATAAACAGATAAATAACAAGCCGTTCTTTCTTTCTATTCTCCATTAATAATAATTGCACTGTCTCAATAATCAGAAGGCATCTAATTTCTAATATTAATTATAATAAATTCTATTAAAAAAGATACAATAAAATTTCAAAGATAATTTCAAAGAAAGCAATATTTGATTCGATCCTAAAAATTTACTTGAAAATTGTTCAGAGATTTTCTTCTCTTTTAAAACTTCCGATACAATTTTCGAATCTTACGACGTTGGTCGCACAGAATCAAATTACTTTGATGCAGGAAATCGAGAGAGGTTCGGAATAGTAGAGAACGCGAGTCTTTAGCAAGGCGAAAGCGTAGCGAGAGTCTATATTGGGACGGTGCATTCGTTATTCCCTTAATTCCACTTGTTCCGTATCGATTATGCGAATACCGCTAGTCGGACGGCGTGTGCGTTCGTGCGTGTTATATATATATATATATATATATATATATGTACATACATATATATTTGTATTTGTGTAGGCGCCATTCTGCCCGCCATCGAGTGCGTGCGGAGCGAAAAATCTATATCACTTTCGGACTGCGTGCGTATAAAACAGCTTGCGGAGGAGAGACCGTCGCTTGCACGTGCGCTTGCACACAGACACATACCTAGATACAGACACACACATATACATATATATTACATATATATAGGTGTGCTATCGACTCGCCTGTTTGCGAGATAGTATCGTGCCGGCGGATTTAGCCGGTGAGCTTCGAGTCGAAGGTTTTTCGAGAGAGGCTCTTTTCAAGGTATTTTACAAACGCGGCTCTCACATAACTTTATATTTATTTGGACATCTTCATCCATTCTTTCAACCTTTTCAGCGATATTTCCTATTTTTTTATGTTGGATAGGGAAGCAATCAAATTCCCAAAGATTATCTAAAGAAAGATCTACGGACCTATTCTCTAACTTTTACGGGGCTCTACTCTTATATTTTTACTATTTTGAAAATTTTATACAAAATTTACGCGAGGACGATAAAATGAACAGACATTAAATTTATGATTATATATTGTGCTTGAAGAAGCAGTGATTGTAGTTTCAAAATTACGTGAATTATTCGGCAATTTTTTCAGATTCCTCAAGATTTTGACATTTCCCGCTTCGAACAATCGCTGGGAGCGAGAAGCAGGAAATTTATAATAATACATACGGGCGCTCTTGCTTGAGACTGTAACTTTGCAAACGTTTTCGCGTTATAAAAGATAAAAAATACTGTATGGAACATGTGTGTATAAGTAGTTTTGTCCGCGAACTGTGTGCAAATGTGTAAAATACGGGTCCGCGCCAAAAGTTTCGGAACCGAAACTTTTTAAGCTTCTTACTGCACGACACTTCTTCTCAGTTTGTCTTTCAAATAGTCAAATACAATGTGCTACCTTGAAATCGACTTGTACAAGAAACGGCAGTTGCAACTTTTCACAAGATTTATACTATTTATAGACCAACTGATTAAACGTTTAATATTTCATTAAAATAAGAAACAATTTATAATCAAATATAACCCCACAGTTATTGCGAATCGATAAAATACACACGACATAAAAAATAAATTTAGTTAGATATGTGGCACATAGAGAAAGAAGTCATCTGTCAAAATCGCAGGTAAAAAAAGACGATAAAACAGGAAGCTTTTTTTCGAGTCTCTCGAGTGCAATGATTTCCCAAACGAAACGTAAAGTGAAACGATGCATTTATGACGATTTTTATCATAACTACGTCTGCATTCGATTCTAATAAAATCGCTCTTTTATACTAAAATGTCTCATCTGTGAGGAATTTTATATTATATAATTGAAATGCGGACACATATACACGGGATCTGATGGTCGTATTTAAATGTGAAATAATATCACATGTATGAATGCAAATTTAAATATATAATACAACTATTAAACGTGCAAATTGTAATTATACGGGATAAATAATGCATTTAATTTGTGACAACCTATAGTAGCTTTTATCCTATTTTAAGTGCGAAAAATAAGCTTTTAATAATTACGATCTTTTTTCCACGATCAAATTCTATTATGTAATTTTTTTTAGCAACGAATATTCACACATGTAATTTGTTTTACGATACGTGACGACTGACGTAACAAAGTTGGAAACATACAAACGTGTAACCACGTTACGAACTTTGGTCATTTATATATCCCGTATATTGTGAGCGGATTACGGTAGGGAATATGTATCTATTAATTACATTGGAGCGCCGATGTAAGTTTCTATGTCGTCTCTATAGACGTTATTTTGATATACCGTTGTTAAAGCCATGCACACTCGTTCTCTCCCTTTCTCTCTCTCTTTCATAAGCAAAGTGTATCGCGCGTCCTCATGAATATCCTCAACATTTTCTACAAAACGCGGGCATATATCCTCCGCCAACGAGATATTTATTAGCCAAGTTTCCTCCGCAGAGATATCTTAACGGAATAATCGCGCATACGTACATACATATACATATCTCACGCGAAAACGTAGACGCGCATGCTATCGACATATCGATTTTACGCCGGAAAACACCGACAAAAGGGGAATCGACTTCGCTCAAACGAGAACTATCCACTTGGCGTGTGTGTCTTGGATGAAATATCGTTTGAATATGAATGGAATCCAAAGTCGGCGTCATCAAGGCTCGCAGTCCCAAACTAGCAGGAAGCGCCTCGTTCTCTCGTCTCGGTTTCGTAGCTCATCCGGTCTATGACCGATGAAACAGGAAGCGTCTGTCCGATCCGATCGATCGGTCCTTTTGCGAGTCCAAGATTTCGACGAGCGAAAGAGCGACACATCAATTTTTAATTTAATCGAATGTTTGACTTGTCGCATTTTGGACACTTGCTGTACAAAGGAATCATGCAAAAAAGATATTCCAGAGATAAAAGAGAGACATCATTTTTATTTCTGTTATGTGAAGCTTGTTGGAGCAATTTGCAAAAGAGCGAATTAAATGACGCAAACTCGCAAGAACCTAAATATGTATTAAATAATTTAATAAATTATTAAATTATTAAATTATTAAATAATTTTATTATTTAAAAACTCGCACATCTCTTACATCTTATATCCTCCTTTATCATATTTAATTATATAAATATATTCGTTATCTAAAATTAATTATATGGCAGCTGGCGAGTGTCTACCTTATTTGCTCGATTGTATTATTACATCATTTGTCTAATGAGCTGTAATTGGTGGTTTTCGAATCGCTACACATGCAGAGAAGACAAATTTCGTATCAAAGATGCAATAACCGATAGATATCTGCGATTGTCTCTGCAGCAACGTATGTAACGTATATTTCTCCCTTGCTTCTCGTACGATTAACCAATGACGTAACCGTTTCGCGGCTGAAGTACAATTAGCCGCAGGCTCGCGTTTATTACTTTGATTCTATCTGCTTTAATCTTGTTACACGTCAACGATCAACCGAACGCGACGAGATATTAACACCGAAAGGGATCAATAATCGATGTAGCGATGTAGCGAAAGCAATATCGGTAATAAAGCCTGTGTGAAACATGTAATAACATTACATTCGACTGGCCTAGCCTTTAGGCGATAGTAAACCGATTTACGTATCGTGTCTAACAATGAGTATACGCGATTATGTGCAACTTACCTATTCCGTTTGAAATAGATAAGTGCATCAAGCGCCGAAAATTCATTGCTTCTCTCAAGAATTCGGCATCGCAAGCTTTTGTGAAAGATACTTTTAAATATTTTTAAAAAAATATCTCATCTGTGCGTGAAAAATATTTGTTAACATCCGGAAAAAAAATTTATTTTAAAATAACGTTAATCAATTTTTAAAAGTTATCACATCTCGTATGTTTCATTTCACATTATGTTCATTTTCTTGTTGACTATTTATATTTTTGTAATTCAATTATAAATGCATCATAATCAAGTGCAATTTATTCTCAAATGCATTAGTATTTCATTTCATGTCAAGAGTGAAAATAATATCTTTTAGTGAAAATAATATCTTTTCTGTTTCAGTTGATGTAAAAATGCAACTACAATCCGTTATGTCGGCGATCCCTGCAGATTACTGATGAAACTCTTTTGAGAAGAAAAGGCAGCTAAATTTAGCGACGAAAAAAGTTGAGCAAGGAGTAAGTATCCTAGAGTGGAAAGTTTTAAACTTTAAACGTCCATTAATATCGAATGCGCTATCTTGTCTCAATCTCTTCAAATGTCGATATCACGATGTCTTATCTTGAAAAACTGCACTTTCGAGATATCAGTAAGTTCTAATATATGCAACGAATTGTGCAAAAGAAATTAAAATGCATTTTGCATTTCTTTCATACTTGTAGAATATTAAATGTTCGATAAAAGAGGGTTAGATGGTTAATTATATTATATTTTAAGAATTTTTTAGATAATATTCTTTCTATAATAAGAGCTATATTTATACATATACACGTAGCTATTCATTCGCATTAAAATATTTTTCATTAATTATAATAATTATGCAAACTGCAAACTGATATCGTGAAATGACTACTGTATGCAAATATACTCCTGAACAAAATTAACGCATAATTTTTCTTCACTTTTTCTTTAAAATTTCTTCGTTAAAATTCCAATATCAGCTTTTAAAGAAAAAATGAAAAAAAAATTATAATAATTAATTTTGTCCAGGAGTATATATTTGGAAATACATACTTCGCATACGTCTCTCAGAAGCGATGCAAATTAGTATCTTATTGTTTGAATTTTTCTATTAAAAAAAAGTACACTTGTCAAAAATGCCGAGACACAATCAGCATCGGGAAATTCGACGAAATCACCGAGGAAAGGAGAAGGGAAAAATAAACCTGCGTCGCAGAGAAATCCGCGCGTGGTCGGCACGATATTACTTCCGTTTACTTACATTGCGTCCGGAGTCAATGCACTCTCTTAGGTAGGAGACGTTGCGAGTGTCCGTGCACGATTTCCGGAGGTGAAAAACGGGAAAACGCGACGCACGATCAGACGACGAGGGATCACAGACGAGACGGAGACTCTCTCCACTGTACCATGTCTGACCCGATGAGGCCCTTATTCACTTGACCGCGAGCTAACCGGTCGTATCTCCGGTAACTCCTCGCGAGAGTAACCCGCTGCCGCCGCCACCGCCGCCGCCACGACGCACACTACGGGCGTATTGTGTCTCGCGCGCGTGCACTACCGCCCGTGGCTTCGCTTGGCAAAAGAAAAAAAAGGGAGCAAAGAAACCATCGCCATCGCCGCCACCACCACCACCACCACCGCCGCCGCCGCCGCCGCCGCCGCCGCCGCCGCCGTCGCCGCCGCCGCCGCTGCCGCCGCCGGTTTTATAATCAATATTAGTTGACGGAGATTCCGCGCCACGTCGCTGCCTTGTGGGGGTGAAAGTGGGGGAGAATAGTGGGGGAGGAAGTGGGGGTGGCGGAGCTCACGGCGGTCTCTTCTTTATCATCGTGCTTGCACAAGCGATAAGACGATAAGCTGCTTGGTGGCGGCATGTTCTCGTCGATCACGTCGATAGCCGACGATTTAACCCTCGACCCTGAAGGGTGTTCAACCCTTTGTCCGAAAAAATTTTTTTTTAAGCAGCGAGAACCGGGTAAGCGTAAATATTTTATTTCGTCAACATTTATCGAGTAACAATATTGTTGAAAAAGAGGTTGATTTTATTTTTATCGCATGGTTTTTATTTTTGCGCTAGAAATTAACAATCGATTATGTATCTGAAATGATAATGACGCTCTCCTCTTTTCCCCATAGAACAATTGTATTATTTTCTTGTAGCGCTCGCGTGATTTATAATTCGTAATTAAGTCATTCCATATTAATTTATTAATTTATATTGAATGAAAAATAGTAGATTTATTAAACATTTCTCTCCTTTTAAAATGATTTTTTTTAAACAGATTCTAAAAGAGTTTACGATATACATGTTCCATGTGGAAATTTTTTATTTCTCTCAGAAGAAAGCAAATTCGTTATTATTTCAATATTAAAAATATTATAACAATTGCACTTTTAACATTTCTTAGACAATAGTTTAAGATTTAATGATTAAGCCATTATTAAAGAAAGTAAGCTCTGTATTGATTGGATTAATTGCATTCGACGTCGCTTCGCGAATTTGGACGTTCATCCAATCGTGTTGCGGAGGGTGCGGAGGAAAATGAGTTTATCGTATAATCGTCAAATCGATTTTGTAGCGAGAAGGTAGCGAATGTTGCGTTCTGTTTTAATTGGAATTAGTCATGCATATAACAATTTTTTAATCGTATCTCAATAATAAGTCGTAGGTTTCACATTACGTATAATTTGTTTTTTTTTAATTATTAATTGAAGATATGATTATAAAATTTGTTTTCTACTCATGGGAATATTATCACAAAGGATAAAATTATTTAGTATATCGATCTCTATATATATCTCTTATTTAAACAATGGGATAACTGATGGAAAACCTATTTATTTGCACAGCAAACTCCGAATGCGCGAATGTCTCGTTTGTAAAAATTACCCCAATTATGAAACCAGAAATTACTTTCCTATCTCAAGAATTGTGCAGTTTACGATAATATTATTTATATACATGGCAAAAAAACAAACAGAAATTTTATCACAATATGTCTGGTTGCTCTGCACTTTTCATTAAGAAAAAAAAAATACTTTTGAACTCGCATCGTATAAATATTCATGTGTGGATGTGTCATCGATGTGAAACTGACAGCAGGGTGGAAATGTCATTTTTAAAAGGATCGGTCAGCGATCGAGTTGCACGAGTTCGACAGAGATGCGTCGATTCGACGACGCCGACGCCGGCGTCGGCGTCGGCGTCGGCGTCGGCGTCGGCGTCGACGTTGGACTCTGCACGCCATCTCGGCGACGCCGGTTCCGATGAAGGCGAAGATTAACAGCGCGCGTCGGGAGCTGGTACGTCGATGGGTTATCCGCGGAGTTTTACCCCGCGGGGGATTATCCCCGGTTCATCGAGGGACAATTTTCGAGGGTCGTAAAAAGAGATTGCAAGGGCGAGGGTTACAAAATATCGGATAAAAATATTACTCCAAATAACTCCAATTTCTACGTTCGAATCGCTTTAAAAAGGAAATTACTCCAAAATTTTTTTTACTCAATTTCTAAAGAATATTTATTTTTTCTTATATACTTCTGAATTTCTAAAGAATATTTATTTTTTCTTATATACATTTATTGTAATTAATCCTATAATTAATTAATCCTTATTAGTAATCGACGTATATATGCATGCGTGCATAAATGCAAAATTATTTCTGAACAGAATTTTTTTTCGTGAGCGTATTCAATTGAATAATTAAGCATTTTTCGATTTTTTTAATTATCTGTATGGTGCAATTTTATCGTCATGTCGCTTTGCATCGATTCTAAAATACAATAGACTAAAAAATATGTATTTATATGTAGAAATACATAAGAGATAATTATTTGACCAAAATTTTCGTATTTAGCGAAAAATAAAGAAAAATATGTAAAATAAATATTCTTTATTAATAAAAAATATTAATATTAATATTAATGAATATAAATAAAAATATTAATATTAATATTAATAAATATAAATAAAAATATTAATATTAATATTAATAAAAATAAAAATATTCTTTATAATTACAAATATTCTTTATGCATACGTGATTATATCCTTTAATTTCAAGTTAGAATACTCGGCATAACTTGAGCATTTCCTTGTAAGGCGATCACGTGTCGTGAATCTGCTGTAGTTGCAGCAGGGTGGGCTCGTAGATAAAGACGAGAGACTCGGCATATCAATTTCACGGACTACAAACGGAGGGAGAGGGAAAAGTGCAGTCACTTGAGAGAATAAATGGAGGGAGAGGGTGAAACTTGAACTCGGGAAACCTGACTGAGGCCTCGCTAATTCCAAGAGTTAAGTTAAGCTCGTAATGCGTCTACTTAAAGGCCAAGGAGCAAGCGAGAGCAAGAGAGAGAGGAAAAGAGGGGTCCAAAGACGATTGCAGGCAATGCAATCTGGATAATCCTTCTATGAAACAGTCGATCTTGTGAGACAATAATGACCAGAAAGTCAAATAGAGTGTTATTTGTGGCTGAGCTACAAATTTAGCTACTTGTGCGAGAAAAAAAAAGCTGATGGTTAAATTCTTCACAGTTTTACGCTGATTAAATAATCGTATTTTTCACATTTATTCAGTTTAAGCGGCCGAATTTTTTATACTTTATAAAACATATTTTAAAATCTCATTTTTCTCTCTTAGTTGTATTTTTGTGACATGATTGAAAAAAATAAAAATGGAATTAATTAATTAAGAATCAATAATAATGAAAACTAATTGCTTTAAAAATACTTTAAATTGATCGAAGAATTTATACCTCAAAGAAAAATAACTTATTGTAAGTTTTGAATATCGATTATATTTAAAATAATATCAAATAAAATATAAAGAAATGGATTGAAGAAAGTATTTCCTCTCTTGGCAAAATGTACCATAAAAAAAATTATGTCGCGTCTCGATTTATTTCGAAATAAATTAATTAAACCAATCAGCAGAGAAAAAGGAGAAGGGAGAAATTCCGATTGCATTTGCGAATAAAATTTTTTAAAATATTAAAACTCACCGGTATCATTGGACTGTCGACCCTTGCCATCTGGATTCCACTCTTCCTCTAAAAACGAACAGAGAAATAGCAATTATAGCAAAACTGTTAATCTATAAAGTAATTCAATAGACAATTCAAAATTGACATAAAAATAATTAGACACTCTTTGTCAAATTAAACGTAAGAGACATTTATAAATTATATTCTATAATTATCTAGAGAGAGAGAGAATTTGCAATCACAATTTGGAATTGTCTCGATAATATCTTTTCATACATTCATTTTTCTGTATAATAAATTACACGTATACGATTAAATTGCATGTAAGAATGAATCATTTCCGTTATAAAAAAGCATGTATCGGTTACCAACAAATTTACAATTATTACAGTGTGGTAACTTGTTCGAGAGTTTCTGGAAACTTTAGTAACTAGTATCGGAAAGTTCCGGACGGAGACTAAAGTTCGAATTTCAGAAAGTTACGGATATTGAGAAGGCCTAGTTGAAACCTCGTATACGATACTTTCCAAGCTAAGTAGTAGAGAGACTTGAGAAAATATAAAAGAATACTTTGGGAAACATTTGGGAACTATTTTCCTCAATTACTTCGGTCAATCGTTGATAACACGTCGTGAATTTTGTATGCACTATAAAAAAATCCAAATGGAAGGAGTTCGAAAGACTCGTACTATATATCATAGTTTTGCTATTTATGTTTCATTATTTAAATTTCATTGTTTGAAAGTCATTAAAAATCATTCAAACTTAAAAAAGGTGCTTAAATTTTCCAACTCTCGGAATGAATTTCCTCGAGAAGAATCTCGTGCGAAAAGATTTTATTCTACATTTCCATTTATTTTTGAGGAGAAATTATCTTTTTTTTGATACCCATAATTTCGAACGCACCCTACAAATTGTTGGATAAGTGTTTTATAAATTTAAATATATATACATATTTTTTGTATATATTTCGCCTGAATATATGAATCCATTTGTATACCTTCCATATAAAGCTGTGGCCACGCATGCATAATCGCGCGAAAATGAACCGAGCGTTCTCACGATGCTCGAGACCTCTTTTTTCGTCCCGTCTCATATATTTGCACGCTTCGTATATTTATGCAAAGCTCACGTCGACATATGACAAACTGCAAACTAAAGCGCGAAATCGAACCGAGATGCATCTCGTATGCATACGCGTGCACATAGGAACATGCGTGCGCTATACATGCGTGTATATATTTATGCAAAACGCACGCTCTCACACATACACACACGTGACAAACTGTAAATCGAACATCGTATATCGATCATGCGTATATCCTGTGCGTCGCGTATCCACATCCATAAGGTATCCCAAGCTTAAGTAAGTGGATCGTCTGTGGATCTTTTTATGCATTTTTACGACTCTGAAGATGCAAAAATGAACTGTAAAAAGTCGAGGAGGAAAAACTTTTATATTAAATATTTATCATACGTTTCGTGGGCATATGAGTGCAATAATTAATAATTAAAATGTTAATACTCTTTGCCTGTAGTTGAACATGAACATTCTATGCATGATATATGCGCGCGTTTATGTATGTGTAACGCATACGCATATTCTACATCGATTGCATACATATGATTACACATGTGTGTGTGTGTGTTGTGTCATGTTGCTGTCCAAATTGATGGTACATATGTACTCGACTGTGTAATTTATAAGGATCTTCTATGTAGCTATTTCCGCATTCCCGGCCACGCGGGAGATATGAATTTAGATTTATACCGACGATGACCCATTTTCTTCGGAAGAAGCTCATTTAGTGGGCCAATCATTAATAACATTATCCTTCATCTTTAACGCGATTACTTGGGAGAGAGGAGTAAGAAATATATTAATTATAGTTTTGTTGACGAATTTCTCAAGTTAAATAAAATGTTGGGACAACAATAGTTTAGAAACAATAAGCGTTTAAAATTAAAAATTAGTTACTCTTTTAAATGCAATTTTTACGCACAAGAATAATAGTTCCGTACATCTTGACCGCAAAAATAAGGATCATGGAGATAAATCGCATAAATGCGAGCAGGAAGAAAGAATTGCCCTAAATTCGGATAAAAAAATTATTATCAAAGCGCGCCGCTGTTGAAAAACGAGAGCATCTCTCTCCGGAGCGGATAAGAAGCTTCTCCCATACTTTTTCATCAGCTCCTTTTGAAGCGCATAGTCTCTGTTTACGAGCCCGTCGAGAATCCGGGACTTTTTCACGGCGCGTTTGACACAATAAACGGAATTTATATTCCGAATCTCTGAAAAGAACGCTCGTTATTCGATGGTACGCCAAATCCGGATACAGAAATTGTAGTGCTCTATATCTACGTCATCAATCGATCGTTCCGCTGACAATGGGTATTTCGCGATACGTGTGATTTCGCGGATCGCGCGTTGCAGATGATCGCTGTCGTGTAATTGGCGAAACATGTCTCTTTCGGTGAAAAAAGCGATCGGCGCGATTGTACCGGAGGATATTTTCCAATTTTTCGAAAATTAACACACGGTGGTTGGAACGCATTGTGCATGTGCGTTGTTTGCGCGTTAATTGAAGAGCTGAGTGCATGTTGGAGTTTGCGTCAAATTTATATGAGAATTGGGTTAACCGCTTAAATAAATGAGATAATACTTTCCGTATTACTATACATAATGGATGTACCACATACGTTTATTATATCGGTATATTATCATATATAATATTATATCGCGTTCATGTCACATATTTTTGAAAAACGTAAAGTCGCGTGAAGACAGAAGGATGCTCGGGGTAACAAAACCAAAAGAGTTGCGTTTGTCATCGCTCATCTATTGTCTAGAGATTTTAGTAATAAACCTGGCACCTAAAGATAAAATCCGGGAGATCTAGGATTAAACTCGCTGAGGAAATAATCCTGATTACTGTCTTCTAGGTAGATGGATTAACGTGATACTCGGTCATGATATGAAATATATGACATATAAGCGAACCTTGCGAAACTTTATTAAAATCTATTAAGATTAAGCGAATGTAAAATAAACTTGTAGATTATAAGACGAGACCACACAATTCTTTTCAATTACTAGCCGTTAAAATTTATTCCTTAATTATGTATAAATTATTTTGATACCATGTCGTTTCTTTTCACACACGAGCATCAAATATCTGATATATATTCAAATGCTGATTTTATCGATAATCTGACGTTAATACGCTCTTTCATTTTGCAAATACGGGCGTTATTCACACGATTGTATGGTGTAGAAATTTCTGACAAAGAAACTGCGAGGGAGTGGCAAAAAAATCGACGGCATGCGTCTCGGAATGCTCATATTTTAGAAGAAGCTCTGTGAATACTTTCTATCCACCTTGCACAAAGAAGGGTTTATGTACGCCGAGAAAAAACCAATGGTATATACAATAACAGAGCGAGAAATTCGCTGGAAGAAAAGCGAATGAGGGAAAACAGATTGAACCGAGGTAAGATGCGCGAGAAGAAAAGCGATAAAATATATATGTATGCGAAAGGATCTAAATCTCGATATCGAATACTGGAAAATATTTGCACCTAATGTTGAATGCTATGTAAAAAAGTTTAGTTACATTATTGCTATCGCGTATGATATGTCATGCAACGTATGACGATATACAAGATTGAGCGAGAATATATTGCCACTTTTACGTCAAGTTAACGTCATCTCCTGATAGAAAAACTCGTGTTTATATGAAAAAATTTTTACACGCAAATCTTTCATAGTAGATAATGCAAGCGGAAAAATAACGTTTCCATATACATGTGTGCGGAATAAAATATTTTTCAAACATCTGCGCATGTTTTCTCTTTCTCGAAAACAGAATCTATTATAAAAAAGTTATTTTTCACATTTACGCTATATATTTTTTCAAAATTATATATAATATTATATAAGAAAAAAATTAATATATAACTCAAAATACGTATTTCAAAATTTACATAAATAATACTTATAAAATATTTAAAAAATTAAATTTGTATTGGGAGCTAAAATAACATTTTTTATAGCTATAAATAGATTTGCAAGATAGCGATAAAAATTACATTGATTATATATAGATTTTGATATTTTCTCTATTCGAATCTAATTTCATCTTAATTCGATGAAAGAGCTAAAACATATTCAAAGAAACAAAGACCAAAGTTGCAGAAAGAAACGTACAAATGTAGTCGAGCTTGCAAGAAGAAGAAAAGATTGTGATAAAATAGAGTAAAGTCACAAAAGATCTGACATCCTTATTACGCTTTGTTGTTGTTAACTGTCTAACTTTACAAAAGTTCACATTATTGAATATAAAATACCATTACTGAAATCATTCAGAAATGCCTCTTTTATACTTGTTCCGCTGTAATTTTCACTATAAAAATATTTGCTATAGAAAACAGTGGGATTATCTGAAAATTATCATATTTTATTTTTGTCTGAAGCTTTCGAAATATGTATTTCAAAAAAATCACACACTTAAAAAATTATGCAATTATTATTGAAAGAAAGATGTTAAATTGAAATAAAACAAATGTTTTGAAATTTTATAAAATTGTTTAATAATCGCAAAAATTTATAGAGAAACTAATTTTTCAAATATATTTCTTAAATATATTTTTAAAAATATTTCTCGATAATTAGTAGCTAATATCACGAATAAAGGCAAAAGAAAATAATTTGCCGCTATGTATGTGTGATATTTTTTTGTATTTCATCAGCCTTATACGGCTTCACGAAAGAGCGATCTGAACTTTAACTGAAGTTGAGCGGTGTCTGTAACTATTGAAGCATCGAAAGAACGCTCGAAATAAACTTTATTCGACGAGAGGCAAACAGAAATTATTTCAGTAAGCAAAACATGAAAGATCGAAGCGCGTCGAGATTATCACGAAAGAAGAACAAGCAAAGAAACAGGGGAGTCGAACGAAAGCAAAGAGAAAATTCATAGGGCAAAGTGAACCTAATCCCAAACTCATACAACTTGTTTTATCAACTCGGACTTTAATCGAGCCAGATCTTCTTCGAAAAAGAA